TGTCGGGTAAACAACAAGGATGTGCTATTTTTAACCTCACGCAGGTAGGGCGAGCCACGCAGGGGTAGATGATGGAAGGTAAAACTAACTGAGCGTAATCAACCCCTGTCCCTGTGACGTATAGTCTGCTGCTGGAAGGGAACCACGCCGTGAGGAACATACGCTGTCACGTCTGCGTCGGTAGCTGCCAGGGCAGACGATTGACTGGAAGCGCGCCAAAGCAAATAAAATTCGTTTACTAGGTCAACGGAAAGCTCCCCAGCGTACACGAGGTTTTAGTGGCGGGAAGTTTCCAACCGTTGTACAAGGTGCTGCTGGGATGGCTTGGGGAGGGGGGTGGAGATGCTGAGATGACTTACCTAATGTAATGGGGGGGGGGTCATCAATAAATGACGACATCACACCCAGTGTTTCTTCCGAAGAGATGCCTGGAAGAAACTCTGATACACCCCAGAAGATCAGATTTTTGTCACTATGTGTTAGATGAGGAGCGAGTAATATGATCTAGATCTACTATTTTTTAAATTAAAATAGAATTTAAAAATTTAAAAAAAAAATGTACGTTGAACGTGTGTGTGTGTGTCTGTGTGTATCTTTGTTACGTCATTTTGGGAGAGGAAAAAAAGGGCTCGGACTCTAATAACTTGTAAAGACTTAGACTTGTGAAAGAAGGGTTTTAAAAAAAAAAGGTGAAAAAATTGGGTTGTCATTTTGTAAACAAAAAATAACTAAGCTTTAGAAATTAAGAAATCATCCGATTAATTTAACTATGAGCTTGAACTTTTTCAAACCCATAAAATACACTCACCATAGTGTAATTATGCTACATTTTTTTACGTTTAGCATAAGCCTATTCTGTTTACGATTGTTTGCCAGAGGGTCTAGTTCGGAACCCGGGCCCGAGTCTGTCAGAAGTCTTTGAGTCTACCCAGCTCTGATGTGCATAGAGCACACCACATTTCTTTATCAGAAACATTTTTTTCAAGAAACAGATGAAATTACTGTATCTGCCTTACAGACAGAGTTTCTTTCAGACATCTCTTCGGGGGCCTCGAGCCTTTCCCCAGAAACAAAAAAGAATGTATTTAGAAAATATATACTTTTACGAGTTTGTGTGTCGTCGCCCCCCCCCCCCCAATTCAGTACGCACCTCCGAAAATTTCAAGTGCACACCCCCACCCCGAGAAAAAAAAAGTCTGAAAGAAACACTGGCTTCAGATAACCCGGTCCGAAAGGGTCAATTACTTTTACGTATTAGCTTTAAAAATTTGTCGGATCACCTTGTGGTGGAGTAGAAGTTTAAAAGGGTTTTCTGTCCTATCACACACGTGTGATTTAAATACCTTTTTACGTAAAATATCATTTTACAAAACCTGAATAAGGGTTTTCAATCATGTCGCTGCTTGACTTCCAAATGTTTACATAGAGTGTTCTCCAGACCACAATAAAACCCAGACAGAAACTCATTGCACTGAACAACGTCGTATACACTTTTCAACCAAAGCTACAGAAGAGAATCCTTGGCCCCAACTTTTCTGTGCGGACCCTCAAGACGATCAAAGTCTGAACAGGTTGAAATCTACACGGATGATCTAGATACGGCGCAAGGTGCCGGTGTTCCTCTGAGAATTGTCGACGTTTTGACGGTTAATCTCAAATAGAATCGTACTAAGAACTCAAGGCCAACTTACTTGTCGAAAACAGTAATAAAGGAGAAACGCAGTTTGTTTCACACCTTCCCCCTCCTCACCCCCCCCCCCCCCAAAAAAAAAAAAAGATTGAGTGCACAATTTTGAATCCTAGAATTAAATAATGAAATCTCTGTGAGGTTCTAGTCAGATATTGGTTAACAGATTCCACTGTGCTGTTAAGATTGTATTCAATTGTTGTTTAGCTTTGAAAAAAAAATGAGAGTAAATCACCAAATGTTTATATAATTTTTGTGGTAAATAACATGTCAACTTTTGTAATTATAGACAAAGTGTAAAAGTTTTAATACTATCCAAGCTGTAGTGTTAATGAGAAATGCGATGACGAGTTGCGCACATAATAGACACAATCACATGCAAGGACATGCACATCTATATATACACGTCGAGTTTCTTTCAAGCACAAAGTTCAGAAAAAAAAAATTATATAGAAAATATATACTTTAACCTGTGCCTCCCCCCCCCCCCCCCAATCAATTTTAAGACATTACCATCACTAACCTCCTTCCAACCCACACCCACACCCCCATCAATTTTAAAATATTGATATCACCACCCTCTTTCCAACCTACACCCCCTCCTCCCCCCCCCCCCCCCCAATCATATTTAAGACATAACCATCATCCCTATGCTTCCTATACACAAGCTGGCAAAGTCTAAATATCATTTAATACAATCTGAACAAAACATGTTACCTAACCTTGATAAAATGGACATTAAATCCAAGTCGTTTATAGATTTATTATTTTATAAAACATTTAAAACTCCCGTTGTCTAGCATCGAGATCCATTAAGTGCTTTACCCTCCCCCCCCCCCCATTAGCATCCCTACACCTACACGCACGCTCACACACACACTAATCTACTAATAATCAGTTCAACCTTGACACCCTAGTAAGAGAGTTAAACGGCCGAGACAGACTGAAAAAAAATTCTCGTCTACTTAGTGGGGAAAACCAGACAGTCTGATGCCGCAAAAAAAATGAAATTAACAGTGTGTAACTGTCTAGGTAAAAAAAACAACATTTTTTTTTGTTCTAGCTAATGATCACAGGGACCACCCACAGCTCAGGTACATCAAACCAGGTGCTTTTCTGTTACATCACCTGAACCACCTATCTGGTGTATTACATCACCTGAACCACCTACCTGGTGTATTTCATCACCCTAACCACCTATCTGGTGTATTTCATCACCCTAACCACCTACCTGGTGTATTTCATTACTTTAACCACCTACCTGGTGTATTTCATTACTTTAACCACCTACCTGGTGTATTTCATTACTTTAACCACCTACCTGGTGTATTTCATTACTTTAACCACCTACCTGGTGTATTTCATCACCTGAACCACCTACCTGGTGCATTTCATTCCATTAACCACCTATCTGGTGTATTTCATTACTTTAACCACCTACCTGGTGTATTTCATCACCTGAACCACCTACCTGGTGCATTTCATTCCATTAACCACCTATCTGGTGTATTTCATTACTTTAACCACCTACCTGGTGTATTTCATCACCTTAACCACCTACCTGGTGTATTTCATTACCTTAACCACCTACCTAGTGTATTTCATCACCTTAACCACCTACCTGGTGTATTTCATCACCTGAACCACCTACCTGGTGTATTTCATCACCTGAACCACCTACCTGGTGCATTTCATTCCATTAACCACCTATCTGGTGTATTTCATTACTTTAACCACCTACCTGGTGTATTTCAACCCCTCAACCACCTACCTGGTGTATTTCATTACTTTAACCACCTACCTGGTGTATTTCATTACTTCAACCACCTACCTGGTGTATTTCATCACCTTAACCACTCATATCGTGTATAAAAATTAAACTATATTTGCTTGTGCATGAATACATAAACAAGTATAAAGTTAAAATACAAAACATTAGTTATTAAACTTTTTGCTACTGAAAAAAAAAATTTTGCTCGGGGGAAAAAATATATTTTTGCAAAGTCCCTTATTCACCGAGTAAAATCTAAGGTTAAAGCTGCCATTAAAAATTAAACTTATACAAATCTTAACCACATTCACTGTTCTGGCCAGACTTATTTGTCCTTGGCCCTTTTCGTTTCTGATCATCAAGGTGAGTCTGGGAGGAGACTAGCCATCTAAAAGTACATTTATGTTAGGTATATCCTCAGCAGGATCGCGAAATAAAAGGTGGGAGATGGAAATAGATAAAAAAGAACTCTTCATTTCTTTTAAAAATAAAGATTGCCTATAATACATAGATGATCAGCACGTAAAGATGTACTTAACGAACATATACTTAAATATCTCTAGTAAATTTAGTTGAAACCATTAAAATGCTGAGGATAAAAGTAAAAATCCTTCCAAAAGATGAATAACCAAACTTCTGAAAAAGAAGAAGCATAGTTGTTTACAATCAGAATCAAGGCTTTTCAAACAACTAATACTCTATGAAACTTGCTTCTGCAAATAGCAGTGCAGTGGTGTGCGAGCAATAAAGTGATCAACAATTATTTTAAAGAAAATAAATAGTAGCTAATTCAAAAATGTAATGATTTGGAGGGCAAGAACAATAGTTTAGTTAAGAAAATTAAATTGCTATTCAAAATTGTTTGTTTAATATATTGTTCTATCTGCTACAAAGACTACGCTTTTACGAACTTTCTTTACACTTTGATCCTGTAACATTTATGTATATATTATATTTAATTATAAATTGTTGACAAAGTTGTTAGTAAAAACAAATGGTAATAAGCTATTATATTAAATAATAAAGAAATGATTGATCTGTTATATTTGTAAATTACTATTAAATGTGTAGACTTACACTGATCTATTTTAGAAGAGTAATTATTTCCTTCGCTGCTGTTTGCTGGTCTTAAAAATCTTTTTTAAACTAGCGACTAAAGGAATAGGTAGGTAAAATGCTAGTACGTTGGTGTGTGTACAATTTAAAATGTGTTTGTATTTATTAAAAAAAAAAGATGTCCGATTTGGTTGGGGTCGTTGAGTGAGTTTTTTTTTTAATAGGACAAAATGGCAGCTAGTTATGTACTTAAATACTAGATGCATGACTTAGAAAGCATGAAAAATACCATTTGAAACCACACAGTCCATGGGGCAGGTGGAATAGGGTTAATCGTCCTTTGAAATCAAATCTACAAATGTCACTGTGCATAAGTTATTAAACGATTAGCTAAACCAGTAAACCACAGAAAAACAGAATGTAACCTTACTTTGAACTTAGCTACTGTGTCACCCATCTGATGTAATGAAGCTTTACGTAAACCAGTTAAAGTGCGCCAGATTGTTTTAAAATATTTTGGAAACCTACAATGTTGAGGGGCAAAGAGTTTACATGAAACAGGTGGCTGTGAGTAACGGGCAGTGTGGTGTAGATGTGAATGTGGGTGTGCATGAAAATTAATATGATGCTGATGACGCGCAGTGTGGTGTAGTTGTGGATGTGGGTGTGCATGAAGTGTGATATGATGCTGATGACGCGCAGTGTGGTGTAGATGTGGATGTGGGTGTGCATGAAAATTAATATGATGCTGATGACGCGCAGTGTGGTGTAGATGTGGATGTGGGTGTGCATGAAGTGTGATATGATGCTGATGACGCGCAGTGTGGTGTAGATGTGGATGTGGGTGTGCATGAAGTGTGATATGATGCTGATGACGCGCAGTGTGGTGTTGATTAGAGTGGCGTGTTATGTGATGTTAATGTGGGTGGCCAGTAGTGTGGTGTGGATGCTGATGATGTATAAAGCGGTGTAGACTCAGGACAGTAGATTGTGTTGTTGGTGTGTGCTATAATAAACAATTATCAAACACTAGATAAATGGCCCGTTGAGGGAGGCATACAACGGGTGCTAGGTTGATAGTGTTGTCTCTAAACCGAAACCAAAACCAAAAGCACCACCTCAACTTCAAATTTAACCGGAAACGAAAAATGGCATTAAAAACGGATTTTTATCTAGAATCGGCATTTTAACCGGATCCGGAAATTTAACGAGATGAAACACATATTAACCCCAAACTTAATACTGATACTAACGCTTAATATATACAATACTCTTTCCGGTATTTGTTTTATATACCTACATTCACTTCTTGTATTAGACAAATAAATTAAGCGTTTATTTTTTTTGTCTGTATTATCAATGACGTCATCATTATTGTGTATCGTTTTCAGCATTCGATTCTTAATTCTATTTTTTATTAAACCATCAATGATGCCATTCTGTTGTTTTTTTGTTTTTTTTTTTGCATATACGCTAAAAACACAATACTTTATCTGGTAACCTTGATATATACGTAGTTACTGCACATTGATACTAAATATAGTCGTAGTCATACGCCTTAACATTGCACTTAAGCTCAAACTTGACGAAAGTCGCATTGAGAGTTTCTTTCAGGCAACTCTTCGAAATACAATTTTAAATAGAAATCATACACCTTAAGTGTCCGACCCCTCCCCCCCCCCCTCCCACGAAAATGTCTGTGCTCCCCCCCCCCCCCTCCTTTTCGGAGACATAATGTCTGAAGGAAACCCTGGATTTAATAAATACAGACAGATTGAACTCGATTCAAACGTTGGAAATCTAAATTTAACTTCCTGAGAGTAAAATGGTGAGATCCGGGATCGTGAAGATCGTGCTCTGGTAAAAAAAAAAACCATCATCAAACGATGTTTACCTCAGGTGCTATTCTTCGCTCTCAGACGTCTGCGGGTTCTGAGCGTGATTGCGATAAGAACTTGCCGCTTATCAATGACGTCACGGCATGGCTGCCACCAGCGGTGTCTAGACATCGACCTGGATATTCTCTGCCGGCTAGGTCACAGCGTTCTACAGTCGACTCGGATCACCGGAGCCTCGATAATCTTCTGAATTATCTTCGAGTTTATTGAATGTAATTATCGGACTTGCTTCCATGCCAGATTTTTAACGAAGGTTCTAAAGTTTTGATTATCAATTATTTTTTTCCCCGCTATTTATTATAGAAGTAATAAATGTATAATGATGGGACTTAACAATTGGCAAATTTGGATCCTCTACTGTACAGCTTACCACAATGTACTTTTAAAAGGTAAACAAAAAAAGGTTACTTTCCTATTGCGACTTAACACAGAAAGATTGTACAAACAGGAGTAAGTGTTTTAGTGGGATGCGCATCTCAGTTGAATAGGCCTAAATCAAGCACAGAGTGAAGAAATTAGTTTAAACTTTTGACAAATATGAAATTACTAACTACAGTGGAAAGTAGGGAAACTAACTCCGGTAGTAGCTAAATGTAACGTTAGATTAGAATATTTACCAATATGTGTGGTTACGAAAACTACCGTACATACAGAAAACACTAGCCAACGATTTTTAGGTGACAATTAAAACATGCATTTATTTCAAGAATGTATTATCCTTAATCCGTCTAAAATATGTGAACATATTTATAATTGTCGTCTAGATCTTGTATTGTGTCTAATGTTTATTTGTCGCTATAATTGTCGATATCTTGTGTTGTGTTCTAATGTATATTTATCGCTACTGTCAACATATGTGTCGCTATATCTTGTGAACTAATGTATGTTTGTCACTATAATTGTCTATATTTTGTGTTGTCATGTAATGTATAGTTGTTGCTAAAACTGTCTATATCTTGAGTTGTCATATAGTGTATATTTGTTGTAATGTATATGTCGCTACTGTCAACATCACCCGAATAATCATTCATAACTTAAGTTTCACAACCGTTTACTATGAAATGAAAACAAAAATCACTCCTTTTTGCCACAGACTAATGTCTACTTAACGTCATAGGTAGATAGGAAGGTTTTGTTTTAGTTTTATTTAGCGCCGTAGTAGAGAGCGCTGTCGTGAAGCATGAGTTGAACTGATAAGCAGTGTTTCTTCCAGCCTTCCCCCCCCCCCCCCCCCCGAACGAAATGGAATTTATATAGAAAACATACTTTTACCAGTGTCCGCCCCCCCCCCCCCTCACCCCGAGAGCTCCCCCGGAGTAAAAAAAAAAGTCTGGAAGAAACACTGAGCGTAAGTCGTTCGTTTTGCCTAGCCAAGCTTTTATGTAAACAGAGACACTTCGTATAAAAATATTAGAACTTAGTAAACGCCGTCACAGGAAGCTACTGAGACAGGTCATTTCGTTCTTCTTCAAAGGAACACATCGATGACAAAAACTTGTATTTGACGACCGTGCTGGGTGATGTTACAAAAACAGTCTTAGGTCAAATTTTTAAATTATTTTGTCGCGTCTACCGAGTTTTCTAAAGCGGGCGACGCTCTCCCTGTCTGCCGGCCGGCCTTAGCATTGGATGATGAAATAAAAATTCCAGACACGTTTAAACGTAAACAGTTTCTTGGCGGGTCACTGTACTCAACACGTGATCCGCCAGAATGAGACATGTAAACAACGAATCTGATTGGTCCGTCGCCTCACCTCATATGTAGAGCTTCTTTTTACTCCAGTGAATTCACCCATGAAGCCGTTTTCATTGAGAATTTAAGGCCGCTTTACAAGTCTTATTAATGAATGAATCGTAAAATGTATTCATTCGTAAATTATGTACACATTTTGTAAAGGTTCAGAGCGTTGACGGTCTCTGAGTTTAATTTCTGAGAATACAAAGCCATATAAGGGGTAGAGGGGTAGGGCTGGGGGGACGGGGGGGGGGGGTGACCACGAGGGGCGCATGCTTTTCGTGTGTGATAAGTTGCACCATTATGACCGAATTGATCTTTTTTTAATTTGCAGGGAGCTGCATGATTATGATTTTTTCTTTAAAAAGAAAGAATTATTTACTGGACAAGACTGATTTGACATATACAATCAGTATGTTTTCATACAGTTCCTCGGGATACTAAAACCAACTTTAACGATTATTTAAAACAAACTGTTGTTTTTTTAATGAAGACACGATAGCATTTCTTATTTTAAAAATATTAATATTTTAAACCTAAATATGTTTGATAATTATGTTTTAAGATAAGTGGATCGCAAGATGACCCTCAATTCAGAGGTGAACGGCGTTGAAAATTTCAAACAGATCAAAGAGGGATGAAGATTTCTGGCAGTGTTTCTTCCAGACTTTTTTCTCCGGGGGGGGGGGGGCACTTGATATTTTCGGGGTAGGGGGCGGACACTGGTAAAAGTATGTTTTCTATATAAATTCCATTTCGTTCGGGGGGTGGGGAGAGGGTAGAACCCGGGCGGAGCCCCCTCGAAGAGATGCCTGGAAAAAACTCTGATTTCCGGCACAGATTTGGACAACAAAGTTTTTGGGTCACCATCTGATCTATTCCAAGTGTAAATGGGACGAAGCATTAAAAAAATCTTATACTTGAACCGACATATTGCTTAATGTTAGAATAAAACTAAATAATTTAGGCTGAAAACCAGAGTTTCTTTCAGGTGGGAAAAGGTGGGGACTTCCTTCACCCGAAGCACCACTACCACCCACAACCCTCCTCAAACAAAATAATTTATATTGTATTTTTTATACTCTTACTAGTCTTACTAGTGTCCTCGGAAAACTTAGTCACCACTCCCCCCTTCCACCAAGAACCTAGTGTAAAGCAAATGAAGAAAAACGTAATTGTTACAACTGAGTTTCATCATCAAAAATAGACAAGGTATTCATCCGCGACCTCTGTGACTATAAGGTTGGTGTTTGTTAAGAAGATATGAATAGCGGGTAGCTAACCAAAGTTTAGCAAACTCTGTGTAGCCCAAACTTTAAAAAAAAATATTGTAGACTTAAAATATCCATTCACCTAAACTTGAATTAACCCATATAGACTGTGAATATTTCCTCGTGACAGTAACAAAACTGTCTGGGAAATATGAAAAGAAAATACCATGAATGGAGCCCGGGGGTTTTCACCACAGTTATGGCGGCATTTCACCCCCCACCCTCAATCTTTTCAGGCCCGGGGACAATAGAGCTGGTAGCGGTACAGACTTTGGGGACGATTGACTGCCAGTTCATTGACCAAACCTGTCCAAGCGTGCAGCGTTCACACCTGAATCCAGACAAGCTACACACTGACCCCTTTTAGCAGGGGCGTATCCCGTTCCTTACCATAAGGGAGGGGTGCTATCCGAAAACAATAATAGTTTAATCAGCGCATGAACATAAATAAAGAGTTTATATACTTCTATGAAGAAAACAAACTGCGCTGAAGTTTCTTCTCTCAATTGAATTAACACGAGAAGTAAAAAAGAACAAAGTAAAATATAAGCCTACTATGTTTATAAATAAAGAAAAGTAAACAATGGCAAAGCATAAAACAGCCTATATAGTCCATCAAAACAAGAAGCAGGGGATGTATCGTGTACGCTGTGAGGAGAATGGATGAAGACAGCAAAGCAAACGTTGACGAGGAACCCACATGAGAAAAGTAGGCGGGCCCATATAATCACGGAGGACTGTTGAAAGCAGGGACTGCTGGGCTTACGTGGGCCCAACTGGTGAGAGCCGCCCAAAATAGAGTCTGGTGGAGAGTTGTAGCTGAAGCCCTTTGCTGCTAGGAGGCTTCACGGGAATAGGTCAGCCTAGTCAAGAGGAAACTGTTAGATTTTCATTTCAAATTTGTAAAGATTAATAATGTGTAGAAAAGCAAAAAGGGTCTCATTCGATTTTTATAAGGAGCAAAAATTAAGTCTAGAAGGAAGGAGTTTATTTTATTTAATTACATAATATTGCATCTGTCGGACGTTGTTAAGTAATTAACAACGACATACGTTAAGCTCAGCGTCTACATGAAGTGCAATTAAAATATCAGCGCTGGTTGCACTATCAGCTATTCCTAGATTATAAACTTATGGTTGTCGGTTGTGTAAAATTCGAGTTATTTGGAAGTAAACAATGTCGGAGCTATTTTTCTTGGATCTTAGTTGTTGGGGCGCGGGGTTGTCCACACTACCGCCCAGACGTATCAGTGTGTACGGTGTGAAAATCTTCAGTGAGGGTGAGGTGGAACACCCCTCGCAACCGCCGTGGTGTCAGGGGTGTCTCTTGGAAGCCACTATCACAGTTTCGACGGGTGACACCTCTAGTTCGGTTTAGCCATCGATTTAAGTATCTTACGATATTTCTAATGTAGTGCGCTCTTTAAAACTAATGTAGGCGCTATAGTGCTCATGAGGGGATCCGAAGTGGCCCCACCCCTGGTGCAGTCAGGGGGTTGATTGAATTAGTTCCAATGAACACCTATGTCTAATATGCGGGCATGGCTGGTACAGTTTTATGGTTGATTGAATTAGTTCCGTTCCACTGAAGAATGAATGGTGTGGTAATGCACTAAAGATAGACACAAAAGATAGACACAAAAGTTCACAAACATACTTTCGTTTAAATAAAGAGGTATTGCTTGATACTTCCCCAGCACACTTTACACACAATAATAAAATGCTACCCCTACCTCCCCAACCCGTAGTGTTATAGGCATATAATATCTGCACGATCCCGTATAATTGGAAACAATTAAAAAATTATCATTTTAACTTTAAAAAGGGGACCAACAATTAAATGATCTCTCGAACTTTAGGCTTCAAGGACATTATCTTCTTTTGCGTTCTCAATTTTTAGTGTTGGAAGGGATCCATCATAAATAAGTGTACGTGTCAACTGGCTATGCACCATTGAAACCATTGACTCCGATGTCAGTCAGCTTTTCTTTTTTAGATTTGCCTCCATAGCCTTTGTCAAAACATAACAAACTACAAGGCAGCAGTTAATTGATTTTGGAGTTGTCTCTACTAGAAGAGACTAACGGGTCGCATCTGCCCGAATATTCGAACTCGAGACTTTTCAGTTTTGCAACCTTAAGCTTTACCGACTCGACCACGCCTACCCCATGGGCATTATAAAAAATGGGTTTTCTGCATATCCCTAGACAGAAGAGCCCAACAACCCCCTTGTTTAATTCCATCAACTGTCTCGGCGACGCCGCTGTTGACAATGACATCCTAGCCGATCCTTCTACTGCACTAGACACATTGTACTGTCGGCAAGACAGTTTTAAATTCTCTACGATTTAGTTGAACCAAAATAAACAAACAAGGTTTATACATCTGATTCCATATATCAATATACATTGGCCCTATCGCCATGGATGGTATTTTATACTAATTAAACCTCTCTTAACAAAACATCTCAAGTAATCTTTTTTTTTTTATTCAAGGAAAGTCAGTTTAGTCACAATAATGATTGCATCATCAATAACCATTGTTTAAGTTTAAACGCAGTATTTTCTTATCTAACTTGATAACCACAAACGGGTGTAGGGTAAATGTGTTGAAGATTTGCTATTGAACCTAGTGAACTTTTTGAACCCTGTGGTCTAGAGCGACTTCGGGTTGATTTGAATTTGATGAATGAAAAATACACGATGAATGAACGTCGCTTCGGCGAGAAAAATTCTCACCAATGGTAAACACACTCCCGCAGCAAGCGGAAGGTCTACGGCAAATTACTACGCGTCTGGTGGCCCACCGCTTTCCATTCCGGGATAATTCTACGGAACATGGTAAACTCATTTTGTACAAAAATCAAGGGAATATTAAAATGAGGCTTATTTAGTCTATATTGGTGTTCAAGTTTAAATAGTTGAAAACATTATGCATTTTTAGGAATATAAGTCAAATTGTCGGCACAAACACAGGTAATACAAAGAACCAAATACAGAGACTGCCTAAAGTTAACAATCAAATCCAATTATACTCAAAAAAGTTTTCGGGTCAGTTTATTAAAAAAAAATAATTTTTAAATACTCTCACACCCAAGTATGTTAACAATATACGACTGCTGCTGATAATCCAAGAATATAATTTCTGAACAGTTAATAACCAACTGAAACAAAGCAGTTAGTTCCAAAGACTTGACTGTGGTTAAAGTTCTCATTTCCCGTTTTAGCCAGTGTTGTTTACACTTGTAGAGAAGATGTAGTGGTCTCGTGCCTTACGTTGGATCTAGTAAAACCTAAAATACGACAACACTTTAGTTTGGCATCTGATTTGGAAAAAAAAACTGATTTTAAAGGTAAGCATTAACAAAGCGGCGGGGGAGGGGGGGGGCTCGACGTCGAAATGTATAGTTTTACCAATCCTCCTCCTCTCCTCACCCCCCCCCCCCCCCAAAAAAATTTTTTTTTTTTAAGTGCGCCCCGTCCACCGTTAACAAATATCTGACAAACTGATAGTAAGACCAGTAATTTACAAAGTAATACATGACCCAAATGTGTTTCCATATAAATTACGTTGGCCGCTGTACGTATTGCTGTCTTACGGTACCGTCTTGTACCGTACTATAAAAGCAACGGTAGAGCCGACATTAATTAACAATAACTAGAAACATAGTTACTTGCTATAGAGAAGATAAATCATTACATTTTCTAAATTTAAAAAAAAAAAGACAGAAACCCGTGTGATGTAAGTAGCTTTTTAAACTATATTTTGCCATAAAAGTAAATGTTAATTGTGTACATTCAACATTGTTCTATTTTGAATATAGGCATGTGTAAAATATATTGTTGTTTATGATACCTCTCTTTATCATCTAGATCTATATTTTTTTTAAATTCATTTAAACAAAGATTTTTAAAATTTGAAATACAGTATCGAAGTAACGAGGAATGTGAAAAAAATTATTTGAATTTTTAAATTTTATTTTAGCCGTCTTTTTTCTTTTTCTAAATTGAGAATTCTTTCAAAGATGTCTAGATCTACTCTTTATTTTTTTTCCATCTGTAGGTCTACTGAGATCCTAATATTGTATTATTTTTAAAAATAATTTAAGACAGATGAGTTTCTTAAAGTTAATTACAATTGAAATCGCTATAATTATTACTATGCATGCATTTTAGTTTGGATTTCTGTTTAATGAATGTAATTATAATGGTATCCCAAAATTGAAACACGGGTACCAAGTTTTTATAAGGTTTCTGCATGGCTTAACCTTTATTAAACTTCGTGCAAGGGCACTGAAATACTGCTATTATTTATTAGCAAACGACTAGAAATTTTTTTTTTTAAATGTCAACAGCTCTACTCGAGATTCAAAATACTCACCAGGGTGCACTTTCAGGGATACATTGTTTTTGCTCACTAAAAGAGAATAATTGCTTCAGATCACATTAAATCTACTAGCCACTAGATCTAGATCTGGATCTTTACAACAATAACAAAATTCTAATTGCTTCAAGCTGTAACTGATAGAAATAGAAAACAGCAGACGTCGAACCCACCGTAGAGGGCTTAAAAATAAAGCGAGATCACTCGGGATTACTATGTTTCGTTTTCTAAATTAGAAGAGTTCCGTACCTGTAAAGAAAAATATAAGCCTACCGAATAAAGATCTGAGATTTAAATTAAAAGGATAAGGTGCAGAGCCCCCCCCCCCCCCCCCCGAAGATAATCTACCGCCCCCCCCCTTCCGAATGGAATGGAATTCATATAGAAAATATATACATTTAACAGTGTCCGCCCCCGAAGAAAGTCTACCCCCCCCCCCGAAAATTTCAAGTGTCCCCCCGGAGAAAAAAGTCTGGAAGAAACACTGATAAGGTGTTGATGCATTATGTACTTTAATCAATTTTTATTACTTCTAAACTCAATTTAAAGTATTTTGCGTGTTGTACTTTTTATATGTACCAATTCTCTTTTATCTTTTGCAGATCTGTTCCTTGTCATTACTACATCACAAGTGGGGGAAAAATCATTAATACTTTTCAGTCTATTTAAAGTTACCTTGTGAATCTGTTTAACAGAGTTATTAACATTCGAAAAAAAATTGAAATTAAAATAATAAAACATCGAAACTATAAACCATCCTTTGTCGAACAATGTCGATCCGGGGCCTTCTCTCGGTCTGTTGCCTTCTAGTCACCTACCACCAACACGAGTGTCGCAGTCTCAACAACAGCAGGGAGCCGCAGGAGCTCGTAAGTCTGCGGTCCGTCCTTAGCCTGCCGGTAAACGTGCACCCCAGGGAGCAGGGGGAGACAGCGTCAGGTGCCAACATTTCGCAGCCCGACACTCCCGTGACAACATTAGTGGACACTGACTTGGAGGCTACTGACCTACATCCCGCAACGGACAGGTGAGTCGTTTTATTTAACTCACAATTTACCTGTAACAATATATTTATTGGATAAGTAAAGAAAATAAATCAATGGACAAAGAGATTCATGCGATTATCAAAATTCAAAAGCTGCCTTTTTATTTATTGTTGGTTGAAAAGTTTTACAGACGATGTTTTCTTTTTATTTAATTGAAGTAATAAGCATGTAGTAGGCCTATATTTCATTATGAAATATTAAAATCATAAATATGTATAATTGCAACCCCAAATGACACCAACCTCGCTTCTCTACATTAATTACCCCGTGCCACATTCCGTTCACTCTTCTCACCCCCCATCCTTTTCACATTTCACCATATTAATCGCACATGGTCACAATTTTGTACCTCCCCTTCCCCCCCCCCCCCACCCATACTTTAGCATAAAAATTAAGGAGTATCATAAATAAGTAAACCTCGACCCCCTTCCCCCACCTCCCCCCCCCCCTCATTAGTATTTAACTATATTAATTACTATGAAATTTTTTAAAAGAAAAAAGTGAACTTCTTCCGAAATCGCTTGACATGTCCTTAATTTACGAAAAAAAAATGTCCTGAAATTTAAACTACCCTGATAAATTAAGCATGGAAAATTCATTGCAATCAGTAATTTTGTAACAAAAGTTTTATGAAGGCCAAGCTGAGAATTATCGAACTTGAAGCCTTTTGCACTACTGGTACAATACCTACCAGCATCTTGCACTACTGGTACAATAACTACCAACATCTTGCACTACTGGTACAATACCTACCAGCATTTTGCACTACTGGTACAATACCTTCCAGCATCTTGCACTACTGGTACAATACCTACCATCACTGTGCACTACTGGTACAATACCTTCCAGCATCATGCACTACTGGTACAATACCTACCAGCATCTTGCACTACTGGTACAATACCTACCAGCATCTTGCACTACTGGTACAATACCTACCAGCATCTTACACTACTGGTACAATACCTTCCAGCACGATACACTATTGGTACAATACCTACCAGCATCTTGCACTACTGGTACAATACCTTCCAGCATCACGCACTACTGGTACAATACCTACCAGCATCTTGTACTACTGGTACAATACCTACCAGTTCCTTGCACTACTGGTACAATACCTACCAGCATCTTACACTACTGGTACAATACCTTCCAGCACGATACACTATTGGTACAATACCTACCAGCATCTTGCACTACTGGTACAATACCTTCCAGCATCATGCACTACTGGTACAATACCTACCAGCATCTTGTACTACTGGTACAATACCTACCAGTATCTTGCACTACTGGTACAATACCTTCCAGCATCATGCACTACTGGTACAATAACTACCAGCATCTTGCACTACTGGTACAATACCTACCAGCACGGTGCACTACTGGTACAATAACTATCATCACGGTGCACTAATGAATCAATATCTACTAGAATGCATGCATCTGTTTAAAAACTGGCATGTTAGCACAGTGTTAAGTAAAGTCCACATTTCGTTATTTGTACAGAATCAATAACATTTTTTTAAGCTTAGACAGCATAAAACAGATGCCATAATTTCGTGGAACTCAAGCCCCCATATCCACCACCACTACCACCACTCTTCTCAAACTATATCAACTTATTTCAACCATTAGGTATCCGCACCGTAAAACTTCACTGTCAACCGGTCCCTTTTCAAATTTTAACGCTGAATTTAACCGGGCATTATGAAGCGCAGTATTCTGAGATGCCGTATTTTGTATATTGAACACTAGGCCATCAGGAAGCCCCAACTGCACATTAAAAGGCTCGGAGCGACAATATCTTCTGTGTATGAGAAACAAACATTTATCAACATCGTCAGACCTTGGAAGTGTCAACAACGAAGTCAATTTAGTAAGGTACGTAGTGTCATAGTATGGTTTAGCACTGCGAATTATATTGTTTGTTTCAAATGTGTAACACGGAGCTTGTTTTTCCTTTCTTTTTAATGTAGACTGGAGCAGCAGAGGAAAGATGATTTACAACGAGAACTTCAACACAACCTACAGTTTACAACCCCTAACATCGATCCCGACAAATTGCGTGAACTCATACAAGTTTTCAACAACCTACATCCGACTCTCAGAAGCGACAAGCCACATAGCAGAATCTGCTACCTGCCAGCATGTAAGTTATAGAAAAACTGCTACCTCCCAGCAATTAAGTTATAGAAAAACTGCTACCTTCCAAAATGTAAGTTATAGAAAAACTGCTACCTCCCAGCAATTAAGTTATAGAAAAACTGCTACCTTCCAAAATGTAAGTTATAGAAAAACTGCTACCTCCCAGCAATTAAGTTATAGAAAAACTGCTACCTTCCAAAATGTAAGTTATAGAAAAACTGCTACCTCTCAGCAATTAAGTTATAGAAAAACTGCTACCTTCCAAAATGTAAGTTATAGAAAAACTGCTACCTCCCAGCATGTGAATAATAGAAAACTGCTACCTTACAACATGTAAGTTCTAGAAAAACTGCTACCTCCCAGCATGTAAATTATAGAAAAGCTGCTTCCTCCCAGCATGTAAGTTATAGAAAAACTTCTACCTTCCAAAATATAAGTTATAGAAAAACTGCTTCCTCATAGTTTGTGAATTATAGAAAAACTGCTACCTCCCAGCAAGTAAATAATAGAAAACTGCTACCTTACAACATGTAAGTTATAGAAAAACTGCTACCTCCCAGCATGTAAGTTATAGAAAAACTGCTACCTGCCAGCATGTAAGTTATAGAAAAACTGCTACCTGCCAGCATGTAAGTTATAGAAAAACTGCTACCTCCCAGCATGTAAGTTATAGAAAAACTGCTACCTGCCAGCATGTAAGTTATAGAAAAACTGCTACCTACCAGCATGTGTATAACAGAAAACTGCTACCTTACAATATGTAAGTTATAGAAAAATTGCTACCTCCAGCCTTCGAATAATGTTAACTCGGTGTAAGAGATTACTGTTGACCAACAACCGTGGCTATTTAAATATTTAAACATGACCCTACCAGTTTAAATATGGTGACCGACCTTAGCTGGAACGTCGACTGTCCCTAGCTGTGAGCGTAATGTTGACTTGATCTATTGCAGGTGACGCTCACCTTGAAGGTTGCACCAACGCCACCCTCCCAAGCTTAAGGCTACACTACAACCTCCCTAGGCTAGACAAAAGGGAGAGCGATGACGACATTCTTGAGGCCAAATTGAAACTCTTTGTCAAGCCAAAATCAGGTCGGTGTTTGACTGTTTTTTTTCCTAAACTCAGAAATTGTTTTTAAATAGTATCAAGCAAAAAGTTTAATTGCTGAATGTTTATCTTGACGTGTGTTTGTAAAATGTTCTACCTGACTCTGTAGGCTGCCCTTGCCCTAACGATGAGTTCGGTGAGGACGTCGCATTGGTTACAGTATACCAGTACATTCGTCATATAAGCAAACGAAATCAAACAAAAGGTAGCTGGCCTATTCATTTTTATCTTTTCATCTTTCAAACCCAACCTTTGATATGACCATTTTAAATGATTATAATCAAAGAGATATACAGTGTTTCTTCCAGACTTTTTTCTCCGGGGGGGGGGGGACACTAGTAAAAGTATATGTTTGCTATATAAATACCATCTCGTTCGGAGGGGGGGGGGGGCGGTAGACTTTCTTGGGGGGGGGGGGGGGGGGCTCCGGAGATATATGTTGATTATTTTTTTCAAGTATATCCATCAAAGCTTTCGTTGGGTTCAAAAACTAGTGACTCTCCGTCCTTCTACCTGTGGTGGTCATAGTTTTCCCATTTACTGTGATTCTCAGAGTTTCCTTTCTTTTCTCTAGCTGTATACGATACCACTTCAACTGTGCTCTAGTTCGCTATGCTATTTATAGTGTACTTTCTGTTTTCTAAGACCAGAGAATACTGGACGCGGTGCTGGTACCAGCACAAGGAAACCTGTGGGTCAGTCTGGACATCAAGCGGGCGGCCAGCACCTGGATGACGAAGCCAAGAAAGAACTACGGGTTAGAGGTCATGGTGCAAGACGCGCATGGAGTGTTCATGGACCCCAACAACTTCTTTGTCTTGCCAGAGTGTCCCTCCCCACAAGGTACGTCACGTGATATCTTTAGTCTAAGATTCTGGCCAAACCCTCCCCACAGGGTACGACATTCACGTGATATCTTTAGTCTAAGATTCTGGCCAAACCCTCCACACAGGGTACGACATTCACGTGATATCTTTAGTCTAACTTTGTTCTCAGGATTCTATATCCAAATTATAGCCTCGCGTTTGCGAGTTAGCGTTCGTTGCTCAAAACAATCATATCCCTAAACATTCAAATAGACCGTGTTGATAGAATTTCGAAGCCAAAATAAACAAATCGTCAAGAGCATAGATACGCAGTGGTTCACTGGGGAAGGGTCTTTTTTACATATCCTTTATAATACAAATATATCCATTCATCTGCAGTGTTTCTTCCAGAATTTTTTCTCCGAGGGGGGGGGGGGGACACACTGTTAAAAGTATATATTTTCTATATAAATTTCATTTCGTTCGGAGATGCCTGGAAGAAACTCTGTTCATCGGCATATTAATATATATATATATATATATATATATATATATATATATATATATATATATATATATATATATATATATATATATATATATATATATATATATATATATATATATATGTATACATGTTGAAGACATGGAACATACACAACATGTATCATCTTGTGCTCACCCACAGTACGCACGTGCAGGGACGACAGCGGCGAAGTTGTAGAGAAAAAAAATTGGACTCACCAGAACACGCGGGAGGATGTGGTCAGGGAGAACAAGCCGTACGTTGACGTCATTACGACCAACAAAAAGATGGAGAGGGAGCTGGAGAGGAAACACAGGAAGCTCTTGAAGTCCCACACACGGCCTTATCATGGCCGCCGCATCCCAAGTCCGGTTGATTGACAGGTGAGTGAGTTCATTAAGGAAGGAATTAAATGGCGCTACCTTCACGTTTGGCCAAAACTTAAAAAAAAAAAAAAAAAAAAAAAACCACATCTATTCGAATGTTATTCTTAAAATTGGTTTTGAGCAACAAAAAAAAACATAAGCTGTAGTCAGATTCTGCAATCCCCCCCCCCCATAGACCCCTCGGTATATATATAAAAAGTATGAGGGGGGTTGCAAATCGAAAGTTTGAGGAGGGTGCAAATCGAAAGTTTGAGGGGGGTGCAAATCGAAAGTTTGAGGGGGGTGCAAATCGAAAGTTTGTCCCCGGGTAAAAATTGGACCCCCCCCCCTTGAGACGATCCTGGCTACGCCACTGCAGATATGTTAGGTTATCAATATTGTTAAAACCCATTCTATTTATCATTACTAGATCTAGCACTCAAAAGATAGGTTACTAACTGTAACACGTTTTAACTATTTTTTTCAGACATTGAAATGGCCTCCTTCTGTTCATCAGTTTGAAAGGTTTAGTTCTTTGCTTACACGCTTACCACTGGTGAAAGGAATCCATGAATCTCATCCGTAGTTAAGTCAAGTAAAATGATGTAGGCCTAGAAATAAATAGGCTCACATCCGTGTATAAGTGTATGTATGTTGACGCGTGCTGGAAGATATTTTTTAAAACCATTTGCAGATCTATCATTATTGTATTTATTTATTATCATTTTAAGTATTATTAATGCTGTTATATTTGAAATTGTTCATAATCACTTTACTTCTGGAATTATTTTTTTTTAAATGGGGCTGGCGAGTGGAAATCACAGGTTTAAAATGGACGACGCCAATTAAACACCCACGTAGTCTCCCTTACTTGAGTTAATGATTGCTCAGTTCTAATTACACCGTCGGGAAAGGGGAGGGAATAAAAAGTGAAAGAAGAACCGTCCAGATCAATTTTCAGACAGAGGACCAAAACTCATTTTTCGTGACTCACTATGTTAAAAGGCGGCTGGAAGTAGTGGACATAAATAGAGCTATGGGCAGATAATAACCACCTTGTCTGGGGCAAAAAAAAAAAAAAAAAAACGAGCCAAAATAAAATTGGCTTTTAAGATATGTACTTTTTTTTCCCTTGGTGGCAAATTTTAGCTGTTACTTGTTTCTCTTAGGAGTCTAGAAATAGCGTGGAGCTACCGAGTATTATTAAATACACTTTTTTTTTAAAGTGTTGTATTGTATAGACATTAGGACCAGAGGTTACTAGGTACATACAAAGAAAAAAGTTCTATGTTTTAAGTTGTTCCTAGAACCTTAAGAGATTAAAGCTTGGAGTGGGAAAAAAGTAATTGACGTGGGTAGTAAAAAGAAAAGGAACAAACAATTCCATAATTAAAATTGATGGCTAAAGAGTATTTTTAGTACTTTGAATGAAGAGAAATCTGTTTTATCTTATGCCCTAGGGCTGTAATATCTCGAAAGGTCTAACAAGTCATATTGAATTATTATAGTTGTCTGATCCCAGATAGATTTGTTTCTTCCCATTAACATGTGTGTAGGGTTTATATTTTTAAAGTTAAGTCATTCGTCAGGGGCGGGTTAAGCTTCATACAGGCCGCTGACATTTAGCTTTAGACAGGCCTGGCATTTAGCTTGAGACAAACCTGACATTTAGCTTTAGACAGGCCTGGCATTTAGCTTGAGACAAACCTGACATTTAGCTTGAGACAGGCCTGACATTTAGCTTGAGATAGGCCTCTGACATTTAGTTTGATACAGGCCTGACATTTAGCTTGAGACAGGCTGCTAACATTTAGCCAGAGACAGGCCTGACATTTAGCTTAACACAGGCCACTGACATTTAGCTTGAGCTAGGCCTCTGAGATATAGCCTGTAAACTACCAGGGATCTGCAACTCAATAGATACAATATGTTTAGCTTGACTTATTACATTTTATAAAGTATACCCTTAAATGGCCTTGAAAATTGTGTTTTATAATCAACTTGATCCATTCCATGTTTGCTAATGTTGTTAACTGTACATAAGGGAACTGTTTGATTTTATTTTTTTGGGAATTCTAAGCTTTTTTCTGACTTAATTGACAAAAACATTTTTTTTTACTAACGCAATTTCATGACAAATGAATTTAAATTGATGATTGTACACCTCAAATGAAATTTTAAATTTCTAAACAATTGTGCTGTTTTAAGTGTATTACTTATCCAACTTTTTAAAAAGTGAATTCATCATTTGGATAAGTAGTTGTTCTTTTTTTTTTTCTCTATCTAAACAAATATGGCACTGCATTTACTAAATGAAAATTATTACAATTAAATTGTACATAAAAGAAAAATAATGAAATTATTATTTATCAATGATGTAAAATAAAACTAATGATACCATATTTTATTGATTAAGTATAATGTAAAAAAGTTTATACTTTTCAATCATGTATTTACGCAAATGCAGCTTATTTGTATTTTATTTGCCATTGAATTCTATTTTATATTTGATGAAATGTACTTTCTGTTTCTAATGAATAAAGTATTGTAAAAAACTTGTCAAGTAATTAATATTAAGTTATGTAAGCTATAAACTATAACACTGAAAGTAACAGGTTTCTTTGATAACTGATACAAAAAAATATGAATAAACCAAGTTTATTTCAATGGACTGGAATGGCAGAAACAGAATCATAATTCCAGCTTTACTATCAATTTCTGAGAATAGAAACTGATTAGAGGATAATGGCACATCAACTCTGTGAGACATCCTGAAATAAATTTTATGTACATACACACTACCAACCATATTTCTATCAATTTTAATTTATGCTTTTTACAAACAAGTAAAACAAGACAGTTAAAATATTTGAGTTGCTAATAATCGTTTGAATTATAAAAATATCCATCCTTCTTTAATTAATTAGATATTAAATTTGGCTGTCAAGATATTTCTTATAAATGAAAACTGCTTAATATTATGTACAGTTTTTATACAACACCCATTGAGCACGGCTAACATAATCAGACCAAATATGTATTTAAAAAATAAAAACGCACAGAACTTGAATTAAAAGTTTTAAAGTGAACTACCATGTCCATAGTGTAGAGTTCCTTTAAGCTCAGCCAATACAGTGTGGTCAGCACACATTTAGTGAGATGAGTCAATGCAAAGATACCCAACATTCTCAGGCCTGAAACTGAACTTGTAACTTTCAGGGGAAGTGCTTTAACACTCCACCATGCTATTCCATCAACAACATCCCCACTTTAAACTATTACATTTAGAAAGTATACAATAACATTTCTAATAAATATTGTACACTGGTCGATTGATTGTTTTCAATTCACAAGTTTTAAATTACAAAGAAATAAATGTTTATCTGTGGCCAGGAATAATTTAGTTTTCAGAAAAGGACAAAATATTTTTAAAACAAAATTCATAAATAATTTTTTTTATAAAATATGCACCATAATGTTGAAAAGTTTTGCTTATTTTTTTTTAAAAACTGTTCTAGTAAACCAAATAGGAAAATAATTAAAATATCACAACAAACAACAATAGTTATTAACAGTTATAGAAAAACTGAAATAGCTAACAGTCTATTCACAACAGTAACCACTAAAACCATTGAATGATTGAGAAAATGTCTTGGCAAATCATAGATTATTAGACATAGTTTGATCACAAATGGGCACGGTCATATATCACTCATTCAATCACTCAGCTAGATTCGATCATTAAAACCAATCAACTCAAAATGTGACCCAATCACATACACATTTTTTTTTTAAACAGCCAACATCCACATCATTACCATTACTATATTCAGCATACAACAGATACAACAAAAATTAGATGATCCATCCACATCATTACCATTACTATATTCAGCATACAACAGATACAACAAAAATTAGATGATCCATCCACATCATTACCATTACTATATTCAGCATACAACAGATACAACAAAAATTGGATGATCCATCCACATCATTACCATAACTATATTCAGCATACAACAGATACAACAAAAATTGGATGATCCATCCACATCATTACCATTACTATATTCAGCATACAACAGATACAACAAAAATTGGATGATCCATCCACATCATTACCATTACTATATTCAGCATACAACAGATACAACAAAAATTGGATGATCCATCCACATCATTACCATTACTATATTCAGCATACAACAGATACAACAAAAATTAGATGATCCATCCACATCATTACCATTACTATATTCAGCATACAACAGATACAACAAAAATTGGATGATCCATCCACATCATTACCATTACTATATTCAGCATACAACAGATACAACAAAAATTAGATGATCCATCCACATCATTACCATTACTATATTCAGCATACAACAGATACAACAAAAATTGGATGATCCATCCACATCGTTACCATTACTATATTCAGCATACAACAGATACAACAAAAATTGGATGATCCATCCACATCATTACCATTACTATATTCAGCATACAACAGATACAACAAAAATTAGAAGATCCATCTACATCATTACCATTACTATATTCAGCATACAACAGATACAACAAAAATTGGATGATCCATCCACATCATTACCATTACTATATTCAGCATACAACAGATACAACAAAAATTGGATGATCCATCCACATCATTACCATTACTATATTCAGCATACAACAGATACAACAAAAATTGGATGATCCATCCACATCATTACCATTACTATATTCAGCATACAACAGATACAACAAAAATTGGATGATCCATCCACATCATTACCATTACTATATTCAGCATACAACAGATACAACAAAAATTGGATGATCCATCCACATCATTACCATTACTATATTCAGCATACAACAGATACAACAAAAATTGGATGATCCATCCACATCATTACCATTACTATATTCAGCATACAACAGATACAACAAAAATTGGATGATCCATCCACATCATTACCATTACTATATTCAGCATACAACAGATACAACAAAAATTGGATGATCCATCCACATCATTACCATTACTATATTCAGCATACAACAGATACAACAAAAATTAGAAGATCCATCTACATCATTACCATTACTATATTCAGCATACAACAGATACAACAAAAATTAGATGATCCATCCACATCATTACCATTACTATATTCAGCATACAACAGATACAACAAAAATTAGATGATCCATCCACATCATTACCATTACTATATTCAGCATACAACAGATACAACAAAAATTGGATGATCCATCCACATCATTACCATTACTATATTCAGCATACAACAGATACAACAAAAATTGGATGATCCACAATTTGCACTGAGTGACTACTTGACACCAGGGTTGACATCCACAAAATACGGGTGCTGCAAACTGTCATCAGCTGACAGGCGATCAGGTGGGTAGCAGACTAGCAGTTTCTGTAGGAGAAAATTATTTGGTAAAGTAGGAATGATCAGGTGGGTAGCAGACTAGCAGTTTCTGTAGGAGAGAAAATAATTTGGTAAAGTAGAGGCGGTCAGGTGGAGAGCAGTTTCTGTAGGAGAAAATTATTTGGTAAAGTAGGGGTCATCAGGTGGGTAGCAGACTAGCAGTTTCTGTAGGAGAAAATTATTTGGTAAAGTAGGGGTCATCAGGTGGGTAGCAGACTAGCAGTTTCTGTAGGAGAAAATTATTTGGTAAAGTAGGGGTGATCAGGTGGGTAGTAGTTTCTGTAGGAGAAAATTATTTGGTAAAGTAGGGGTGATCAGGTGGATAGCAGTTTCTGTAGGAGAAAATTATTTGGTAAAGTAGGGGTGATCAGGTGGGTAGCAGTTTCTGTAGGAGAAAATTATTTGGTAAAGTAGGGGTGATCAGGTGGATAGCAGTTTCTGTAGGAGAAAATTATTTGGTAAAGTAGGGGTGATCAGGTGGATAGCAGTTTCTGTAGGAGAAAATTATTTGGTAAAGTAGAGGCGATCAGGTGGGTAGCAGACTAGCAGTTTCTGTAGGAGAAAATTGTTTGGTAAAGTAGAAGCGATCAGGTTTCTGTGGGAGGGAAGTATTTAGTAAAATAGAAATCATCTATAGAAATTTATGTAGGGAAAAATATATGGTAAAACGTAATGATTGAAAACTATATGAAGAACACTGACAAAATTCTGGCTCATGAGGCTTCACCTTTAAAAATGTTCTACTTATAATAACCAACAGGCTCTTATATTAAAACTTTGATCATGCCACAGTGGTGGGTGGGTTTGTTTGCGTACTGTTAGAAGTGATAGGTAACATCAGTACCATATACAGAATGAAGGTGACTCAACACAAATATTGGTGAAAGTTTTCCCATGGTTAGAAAAAGAAACATTACAAAAAAAAAAATTTAAAAAAAAAAAAACTTGACATCAATTTTATTTGCAAGATGAAATGAAATCAATTTTATATAGAATAAAAAAAAACCTACCTGAAGGAGATCTCTCCCTTTAGAGTTTAATTTAGGAACAACTTGTTGCCAGGTCGTGCTGACATGGTACATTGGAAATGGCTGCAGGAGAAAAGAGTTGAATGAATAGTTTTGAAACATCAGCACGTGCACTTTACTATGGGTGAACTGTCCATCCAAGGTACGATTGAACTACATAAAATGTCTGTGTAGATCAATGATTGTAAAGAAAAGAATAACTTATGTAATAGCATTGTGTAGATCAGGGGTCTCCAAACTTTTCAGCCCAAGGGCCGCATTAACTATCAAATATCAGTTCGGGGTCCAGAGTTTCCAGGCACCACAGAAGAACGTCTAGCGCCGCCCCCGACTAAAAATAAATTATATATAGAAATATATACAAATTTCTAGTACCCCCTCCCGTTTTGGAGAAAAAAGTCTGAAAAATAAACATTGTCGGGGCCCGACAAAACACTCGAGGTCCAAGTTTGTTCTCAAATTGTTCTTCACGTATTTTATTCTTGAAAATGTTTGTTCACACAAGTATGTTGCTCCAAACTTTGAAAGGTAGTTTGATGCAAAAGTTTCAATATTAGGGAGGTCTTTCTTGAGCAAAAGCTTATAAAATCCCACCCGCCTTTCTGTGAACTTGTCTCTAAGGAGGTCATTTGCCTGCAATTCTATGACCTCCAGCTTTAGTTCAACTGGGCAAGTGGGCACATTTGCTTCAAATGTATTTTGAAACAATTTCACTTCTTCTGCCTTTGAATCCAAGTCAGAAAACCACTACTGAAACTGCAGCTGGGTGTCTTTGATGATCTCGCATGGACATGACGTAAAGGTTCCTCAGCCACCTCTAACAAAAGTTGATTTTTTCCGTGGACATAAAGATCCCAGCAGGCCGGATGAGAGGACCTCGCGGACCGCATCGGGCCCGCGGGCTGTAGTTTGGAGACCCCTGGTGTAGATCGAAGAAAGAAAAGAAAAAGTTATGTAAGGGCACTGTTGACTCACTCTGTAGTTTGGTAGCAGTGTCAAGCCTGGCCAGGTTTCTTCTGTTGGTGTGCCTAAAAGTCTGGGCAGCAGTTATTTCAACAACTTATATTTACAAAGAGGTTTTTTTTTAAAATACACGTCAGAGTTAACTAAGTTAAAATTACATTATTAGATTTTTTTTTTAAGTTTTAAGAGCACTGATTAAGAGCGAAATGAAAGGATACTTGAATATTCTTTTCAGCTGATCATCATCATCATTTCCAGGGAATAATGGCCGGCCAGCATTAGCTAATTCTGAAAACATGATTTGAATTATTTAGTTGAATACTTATAATGGTGAGAATTTAAAGTTCACCAGAACCTGTTTGCTGCTACTGTTTTGCCATTATAACAATTGTATCACTAACCCTAGGCCATGAATCTAATTCTTATGTTTACCCTGACAGTCCTGCCTGCATTTTTTTAAAAACTGAGGCCAGTCCTTCAGCTAACAAAGCACACTTCTGCAGTAGAGTAACTCATCATGCTAGCCAACAACCCAGTTTCTATTTCTTCTGCTGTCCATACAGCCAGCAATACTAGTGTGTTCACTCTTCCCAAATACCAAAGCAGTAAAGGGAAGTAACTGCAGTAAAGGGAAATAGCTTCTTAAAAACAATGATAACTGTTCTGTTAAATGCAGATGTTTGGCAGTAGTAATGGGTTGTCTAGGATAAAGTTGCCAAATCTTGAGTTCAAAAGTCTTCTTTTATCCTAACTTACTGGTTTGTTTAAACATTTTATGTTCAAATATTCAATTAGGTTAGGTAAATTTCAAAACACAACAACTTGTTAAATTTTCATAAACTATATATCAACATAAAAACAACAGTTGTAGCTGGCTGTGTTTTTTTTTTACTCTTGAGAGGAACCAAAGTTTTTTAAAATGCCTATAAAAGTTGTATTGAAATATTCAACTCACCAGCAAATATGCAGCCAGCTGACCACATGTCAATTGATGTTGAATACATTTTGGCTCCAAATAATACATCAGGTGGTCGATACCATAATGTCACAACCTGAAAATATCAAGAATCTTTTAAAATATTGTCACAACCTGAAAATATCAAGATTTTAATTATATTGTAACAACCTAAAAATATCAAGAAGTTTATATCATATTGTCACATCACAACCTGTAAATATCAAGGTCTATACCATAACATCACAACCTGTAAATATCAAGGTCTATACCATAACATCACAACCTGTAAATATCAAGGTCTATACCATAACATCACAACCTGTAAATATCAAGGTCTATACCATAACATCACAACCTGTAAATATCAAGGTCTATACCATAACATCACAACCTGTAAATATCAAGGTCTATACCATAACATCACAACCTGTAAATATCAAGGTCTATACCATAACATCACAACCTGTAAATATCAAGGTCTATACCATAACATCACAACATGTAAATATCAAGGTCTATACCATAACATCACAACCTGTAAATATCAAGGTCTATACCATAACATCACAACCTGTAAATATCAAGGTCTATACCATAACATCACAACCTGTAAATATAAAGGTCTATACCATAACATCACAACCTGTAAATATCAAGGTCTATACCATAACATCACAACCTGTAAATATCAAGGTCTATACCATAACATCACAACCTGTAAATATAAAGGTCTATACCATAACATCACAACCTGTAAATATCAAGGTCTATACCATAGCATCACAACCTGTAAATATCAAGGTCTATACCATAACATCACAACCTGTAAATATCAAGGTCTATACCATAACATCACAACCTGTAAATATCAAGGTCTATACCATAACATCATAACCTGTAGTAAATATCAAGGTCTATACCATAACATCACAACATGTAAATATCAAGGTCTATACCATAACATCACAACCTAAAAATATCAAGGTCTATACCATAACATCACAACCTGTAAATATCAAGGCCTATACCATAACATCACAACCATAACATCACAACCTGTAAATATCAAGGTCTATACCATAACATCGTAACCAAAAACATACAGATACAAAGCTAAACTTATTTAAGTTGAACTGAAGAGATTTTGAACAGATCGGTAGAGTGGTAGAGCACTTGCCAAAGTCATTTAAATGTATGAACTCTACTTCATCTGCCTCATGGACTTTCATTTATTTCATAATAATGTCCATTGTTAATCCTACATACATACAAATCTTCAACATTTGTTGAACTGAAAAGCAATTCATTGTATTATACTTACTTCAGAAAGACTATACACTTACATATTTATAGTATCAATTTAACATTTACAAAAGCAATGAGTTGAATGAGCCTTTAGGAGAAAAATTAACATAAAATGTAATACAAGTTTGAAAGACTTTAGGCAAAATTAAACTTCTAAAACATGAGAGCAAAAAACAAACATTACTTACTTCAGCTGAATAAAATCTCACAGGGAACCCAAATGCTCTGGCCAATCCAAAGTCTCCAAGTTTCAGTTCTCCATTCTATAAGTTAAGAGTTGGTTAAATTAATCATCTAATTATTAATTACCTAATTGAAGTATAAAATATAATTAAAATAAAACTTGATTAGATTGACATCATTTATTTTTTGAAACAACTTTTTCTAGTCTACTGAAATATTTACTATCCCTCTAAAAAGACTGACCTTATTAATTAACAAATTTTGAGGTTTTAGATCTCTATGCAGAACATTGTTGCTGTGGCAGAAGGCTATACCTTTTAATAATTGACACATAAATGACTGAAACACAAAAACATTATCAACATTATCAAAAACATTTTAAAATGTTTTTAAAAGCAAAAGTATACACAGAAGTTATGGAGTATCTAGGGATTATTTGTTGGTGAATATGTTAATAACAGGTACCACTTGAGAAAATATATGGCTCCAGTTTGCATTAGGAGAAAATGGATGCATCCAGAGATAGGAATTCATGGGGTATTAGATAAAGAGGTCATCTCTTGCCCATGCATCATGACCAGTTGTTTTACATTAGCTGGTTTAGTCCAAAGGAATGCTAAGCAATATGTTTTTATTAACAGCTGAAGTTGCAGACGTTGACGTAAGTTGGTGATCCTAAAGCCTAAGGGGCTCCACTCCTGTTTGATTTAGGAGTTTTCTTTCCAACATGGGTTGATGTCACCAAGTAACGAGCCTCATCTGCTTGAGAAGGAGGGGGTTAAACTCAGGACTTTGTGAATCAGCAACCATGAACTTCCCCTGCCAACCATGGCTTGAGAAAATGTACATTAAGAAAGCCCCTTTACAAGAGCATTTAGCTTTTATCAAATAACCTTTTATACCTGAATATATATTGGGGAGACTTAACCCTTTGAGCCCGCCAAGCCAGTAAACCGGCTTCAACATTAGGCATATATGTCCGAAAAGCTGATTTTCCGGCCCGGCGATCTAGCGTCATATTCCTAGCGGCCGGTATACCGTCTAATTAAATATAATTAGCAGAAGACTGACTAAAACTGTGCATATGTCTTTTTAGTGCGGGATTATGATTCTAAACATAGATTTTAGGAAAAGTGAAAGTGTTTACATTTCGTAGCAATGCCGCTGAAATGAAAAGCTGAGCCACAGCCATCGACTTCAACACATAAAGTTGGTGCAAAAGCTGAAGCAAAAGACCGAAATATCAACAAAAGAAGTAGAATGACTGCTTCTCAGGCAATACAACTACTTATTGATTCTGATGAAGAAGATAATATTCCTGGTCTATATTGTGATGATAGTGATGTTGAATTTGAGACTGAACTCAGTGACATTGAAATTGACAGTGACAATGAAACTGTTCAAGTACGTTCTGATGCACGTGGTGCTGTAAAACTTCAGTCTCCTTTGCGTGTGGATAATAAAAGTTATAGCAAAGTTAGAAGCAGAGAAGCGAAAATTGGTTTGGCCCTGGGAGCTCAGGAAATGGGAGAAACTAGGCCAGGGAGGCCAGGGCTCAAAGGGTTAATCTATAGTGGAAGGTAAATGCTGGGATATAGTTTGGTCAGCACTGTGCACAATCACCTTTACCTTTCCCATAAACTTCAGGTATTTATCAGGACTAAGTGGACTCATGTGAGGAATTGAACACCAGACTTTGAAATAAGCAAGTGTGTGTTCAACTACTCAACCATGCTACAGAAGTTAATTTTTTTAAAATGATCTTTAAAAATGTAAAATATCAATTTAAATAATACATTTACTACCTTGACAACATCAGGGTCAATTTCTCCATTGCATGCATCAAAATATTTCTTGAGATCTTGGTCACAATACTCAAACACAAGAGTCAACTTTCTTTCACTGTGCACAACATCATGTAGTCTGTAGAGTTAAAAAACTTTGAGTGAACTTTAACACTTCCTGTTTTTTTTTTATTGTATAGTTAAGACATTTAATGTATTTTATTATTGGAAGCATTTATATGACTGCCAATTCACAAAGTTTATTACCTTACAACATTTTTATGCTTCAGTTCTTTGAGTAAACAAATTTCTCTTAAAGCTGAACTTGGAACTCCCTGTACAATCAAAGTAAAAGAAATTCTATAATAATACATACTATCAATAGAAAAACAAATCAGAAGCTTATATTTATCTTCTAAATACATTAAGTATGAAAATGACCTAAAATGATTTTTCTATCTGAAAATAAAAAGCAGCCTATAAAATAACTGAAAATACTGATTATAATGCATAATTAAAGTATAATTAACAAAAGTTGTACCTCATCATCGTCATCAAGCCGGACACGCTTTAATGCAACTATTTCTAAAGTCTCTCTATTCTTTGCTTTGAAAACTGTTCCATAAGTACCTTATTTTTTGGATGAACATTGAATAAGGGTTAGTTTAATACCAACAGACTCAGAGTTTCTTCCAGGCATCTCCCAGAAAATGTTGACCGCCCCCCCCAAAAACTAACCCTAAACATCACCTTAGCCCTAAATGTAAAATTACATCACACTCAGTTTGGGTTAAGTTTAAGAAAGGTTTAGTTGCAAATGCAATGTATTTCTTTTTTTTTAGTTTTTGGTAATTTTGTGGTATTTATAAACATTATTGCAAGCTTAGATAAGTAGGAGTACGTCACGGGTCAGCTCGTATTTCAATATAATAATGTTGGCCAAAATCTTCAAAAAAGATTTTCCAACTTTTTGGCTGACATCATAAAGAGGTAAAGAGGCAACCCAACTCTAACTATTAACCTAATATAAATGTCAAGTTATAGATTTCTAACTATAGGCCTAAATAAAATAATCCTAAGTAGATTTTAGGCCTACTTACTACTTACCTTCCCCAATTTTTTCAAGTTTTTCATATTTCTGCATTCTGTTTTTTTCTGAGTGTAGTGTGGTCTAACCCTTTGCCTAGACCTTGAGTCTACTCTATCTACTCCAAGTCCTAGTGACTGACAATGCAACTGGTCACTGGTCTGGAGATTGCTCAGAGTCTGGACTCAGCTCAAATAAAGTCGCTTCTCTAATAAAAATAAAATATAAAAGAGCCTAAGTTAGTAATTTTAGACCTATTTGAGTTGCTTAAAAACTACCTGACAATAAGGTTCTAAAATTACATAGATCGGTAGTGTATCATTAGATTGATCTTTTACTGAATAAAAATGGTAATTATTCTGTGCTCATTTTAAGAGATCAGCATTGCTAAAAGGTCACTCTAACAAAGCAATCTTGGTACGGAAGCTGTGGTGGGCACTGACGCAACTAATAAAGTTGTGGATTTGTGGAAACTTGTTTTCTGCCAGTTTTTTCAAGCATAATTAGGCTAATTAAGCCTAATAATCAATTTTTCTCCTGGCCAAGGGATTAACCTATGACTCTAAAAGCCCCCAAACCAAAAGAATCTACACCCTGTTTTTTTATTTTGAGTTAATCACTAGCATTAGTGAGAGTTGGCCTTCTACTAATAGCAAACTTATTACTTATACTATATTTTGTTGTTTTTTAATTATTTATCGTGCTTTCAAATTTGACATAGCCTAATTAATTTTTAAAATTCTTATTGATTTAATTTTTTTTTACTTAGGCTAATCATAATATTATTTTCACTGGTCTTCCCTGATATATTTGTATCAGGCCAAATAATGTTCATTTATTAAGATTTAAATTGATAGGCCTGATAAGTTAAATATTAGCCTTGGGCCTAGGCTAAGGCTTACATTACTAATTATTACTTAGTAAATGAAGTACACATGGACTAAGACGTGTGTGTTGTGCTCGCGTTGTGGCGGATGAAGTTTCTCTTGTCAAGCAAACGAGCAGTCTCCCATGAAGACGTTTCGAATGCATATTTCTTGCTCTCAGGCGATCAATTTTAATATGATGGCATTTTTAAAAAGAAACATCAAATAGGTAGACCTTAAAATCAAAATATTTATTCTAAACTCCCCCTGGACAAAGTTCAGAGAATATCGCGCCGGTCCCACGTCCAGTAAAGGAGGAGAGTTATAATATAGATTCATTTTGAAATAACATCTTAATCTTATGGGCCTATAAATTATCCTAATTAAACATTGCTAAATTAAAAATTTAACACTGGTGAATCAAAGCTGAACAAACTGTGAATGTGAATATCTTTCAAAAGTTAAAAGTAAAGTTCCCCTTCCAAACCTGACAATCTATTCTATACTAGATCTATAAGGTTAGGCAAGTTAGGTTAGGCTGTCTAGCCCTATATTTCTTAATATTTAAAACATGATTATTGGCTCATTCATTATAGGCCTACTAAAATATAATGGAAAGAATACTGATAAAGTGAATACATAACCAAGCAGCATCGCACAGTGATACCTCCATTTTCACTCACCCCAACTTTGCTACTTGAAGTCTAAAACTACTGATTTTGCAAACCTTTTTGTCTTCAGCCCATCTACACATCACAGAGATTGATGCTTACACGGGTGTGGGGAAACTGCGAGACGCGAAAAGCGAAATGGCGAGGCGGGAAAATGCGAGAAGGGCGCGAAAACGGTCGGTCACGTGACTTTTTTGTCTCGCATTTTACCACAACCCGATACTTACGCTGGGTGGCGCTGAAATGCGAGGATTTCTGCGAAAAATTTACCGCACCCGATTTTCAGTGGTATTTGGTCCAGACTTCAAAGACGTTTCGTTTACATTGTTAAAACTTCAGATTTTTCCGTTGCTAGACATACTGATGATTTGTCAACTCCCCCCATCTTTTGTGTCGACTTAGAATACCACCTTGTTCGAAACCGACGAAAATACTGCCGACGATAGATCAACTTCTGTCTTTTGTGAGGAACGCCGAGGCCGCCTGATGTACCGTCTTTGAAGATCGCCGTGCCCGGATCCGCTGCCGCCGCAAACATATTTTCTATTGTTGCATAGAAATTTTGTATTATAGCCGCCGCCTACGATTTTTTTCTAGCTTTTTTTACCATATAAATCTAAGCACAAAGAAATGCCTACATCATTTGGATACAACAAAATAAAGTGACGTCACCGATATTATCAGTTGCTCATGCTATATCGTAAGCTATGGGCCTACTTCAAATATTTTTAAAACCAAGTTGAACTTATCTGATTTTTTTTGGTTTTGGTGGTGGTGTTATTTGGGGTCTTCCATAAATGACGTCACACTCGTAGGGGGGGGGGGGGTCTGTAATTTTATGACGATGTGTGATGAGGGGGAGGAGGGGGGGTTAGATGTGAAGTCACGCTATAAAAAAGCAATGTTAGAAAAAGAATTTTAGACGTTTTTTCGCGTTTTAGAAAACTGTTTTAATACATTGTAATAGGAATTGATTAAAGTACTCTATTTTGACCGAAATTAGACAAGATTTTGGGAAAATATCGATGTTTTAAAAAAACTCAACTGCTGATGACAACAATGAGCAAGACATTGCCAAAATTACAGAAATGATAAAAAATACAAATTATAAAAAACGGAAAACAGATGTCGAGCGTGCGGATGATGATGATGAGAACATGGGTGCCAGTGTTGTTTGTGGGATGAACGAGGAGGTCAACTGTGATGAAAATGTGACATGTTGTGAATGTGGATTGGAAGAAGTAGCAAAAAAAAAATGTATAAATGGGAGTCTAATGAACTGGGTTGGGTGTACTATGTGTGAAAGATGGTGTCACGAGGTGTGTTTGAGGACTGTTTCAGAAGATTTTGTTTGTAAATTTTGTTTGTAATTAAAATTACTTAATAAAAAATTAATTGCACTTTTTAGAATTGTTTATACTTTTACACTTTTTGCAAGTACAAAAATCCATAAATACATGTTGCAGAATATCTCTCCTGCTGACAAGATTATACCAATTCACAATGACACAGCTCACGTTTGTATAAACATGAGCGGGCTAGATTTTTAAAATTAATGCCGACTGAGACGGGATTTTCCTCTCGCTAATAAGAGCGGGCGATGACAGTAGCACAGCAACGATGTTAGGATTTTTAAATAGATAGATCTAGATATAGATCTATCTATCTTCTTAGTATCTAGATAAAAAATAACAACATACAACACTCGTGTTAAAGGGTATGGCTAAATGCTTGTTTATTTTTAAAAAAAATAATAATTTAAATAAATAAAGATGGAAAAAAAAAAGGAAAAAACCTTTTTTCGCAAAAAGTGTCTCGCTATTTACCCTTAATTCCGCAGGTATGTCTCGCATTACCTTCTCGCATTTTCCCGCCTCGCCATTTCGCTTTTCGCGTCTCGCAATTTCCCCACACCCTGCTTACACATTGTTTTTGGATATGCGGGGGGGGGGGGGGGGGCCTTCTGACAGGGTTTCAAAGGGGCAATTCAAATTGAAAATATTGTCCAATCAATAACCTGTAGTAATCTAGATTTTAGACTAAAAATCTCGACTGTAGTGACGAGAATAGACAGTCACAGTGCAGGGCTCTAGTCTAACTAAACAAAAATAATAAAATACACTAACTAGATCTAGTCAGGTCCTAGGTAAGGTTAGGTCCTACCTACTACCTAGACTGTCCTAGACCTAGGCCCTGCATAGGGCCTACTACTAACTAAAATTACTAAGGGCCGGCCTAGGGCTAGGGTTAACCGGGTTAAGTTGTTAACTAACAACTTCGCACAATGACAAAGGCTATGAATTATGAATGAGTGTTTTTACCTTTTATTAGGCCTAATGTATAAAAATTTAAAACTTTTTATTTTATTTTTTTAGAAAATGTAGATCTAGAGTAGACTAGATCTCTAAATTGAATGTAAAAATATTTAAGACTATAATAGTATAATGCATAAGGCAAGGCCTAGATCTGGATTTAGATCTCTATTTATTTTGTTGTTCACGGAAGTGTTGATACAGAAAAGATTTCTTAGTAGCTTCCCTTGGCCGTATAGAAAATATAAATATGCAAAGGGCCTATATTTGGTAGAAGATTAATTATTCGCTAATTTAAATGTAGCTGAAAAAAAAATTAAAATAATAAGTACTTTATTATATGAACAACATAATATGTAGTAATTTGAAACTTTATCGGGAATCTATAAATCTAACAGTTTATGGCGTAGCTGTTGGGTGGAACGCGTTGCCACTAGGCATAGGGGGCGCCAGAACGATCATAAAATAAAACAAAAGCTTTTACTTAGATCAGAAAATTAGTCGCTTCCAAAGCACAATTAGAATACTGATTCTAGGAGTTGTTTTTATAAGTGTCCAAGATGTGTCATGTTAGTATACGAATCGAGATGTACTGAAAAAGTCACCAATATATACGAGGTCAAGTCTTTCGGGTCGTAAGCATTTACCAAGTCTGCGTAAAGTGGGTGTGGGGAAATTGCGAGACGCGAAAAGCGAAATGGCGAGGCGGGAAAATGCGAGAAGGTAATGCGAGACATACCTGCGGAATTAAGGGTAAATAGCGAGACACTTTTTGCGAAAAAAAAAGTTTTTTTTTCTTTTTTTTCCATCTTTATTATTTAAATTATTTTTTTTTTGTTTTAAAATAAACAAGCATTTAGCCATACCCTTTAACACGAGTGTTGTATGTTGTTATTTTTATCTAGATTTTATTACATAGATTTAGATACTAAGACTTAACTAAGAAGATAGATAGATCTATATCTAGATCTATCTATTTAAAAATCCTAACATCGTTGCTGTGCTACTGTCATCGCCCGCTCTCGTTTGCGAGAGGAAAATCCCGTCTCAGTCGGAATTAATTTTAAAAATCTAGCCTGCTCATGTTTATACAAACGTGAGCTGTGTCATTGTGAATTGGTTTAATCTTGTCAGCAGGAGAGATATTCTGCAACATGTATTTACGGATTTTTGTACTTGCAAAAAGTGTAAAAGTATAAACAATTCTAAAAAGTGCAATTTTTTTTTTAATTAAGTAATTTTAATTACAAACAAAATTTACAAACAAAATCTTCTGAAACAGTCCTAACATTAATCAAACACACCTCGTCACATCATCTTTCACACATAGTACATCTAACCCAGTTCATTAGACTTCCATTTATACTGTGCTAACACAGAACACGAATATAGACAGAATGAAAAAAAAATGTGCGTTTGTAGATAAACTGAATAAAGTCCGCTATCGACAAAACTACCATTTAATAAAAGGGGTCATCCATAAATGACGTCACTCTTTTTTGACGATTTTTACCCCCCCCCCCCCCCCCCCCCCCACTAAAATAACGTCACACCTCAGCCTACAACCCCCTTCAAAATTGCAGTTGAATTTTTTTTAAAACATCGATATTTTCCCAAAATCTTGTCTTATTTCTGTCCAAATAGAGTATTTTAATCAATTCCTATTACAATTTATTAAAACAGTTTTCTAAACCGCGAAATATCGTCTAAAATTCTTTTTATAACATTGCTTTTTTATAGTGTGACGTCACAATATCTAGCCACCCCCCCCCCCCCCCACCCTCCTCATCATAACACATTTCTATGCAACAATACAAAATATGTTTGCGGCGGCAGCGGATTCGGGTTCGGTAATCTTCAAAGACGGTAAATCAGGCGGCCTCGGCGTTCCACACAAAAGAAAGAAGTTGATCTATCGTCGGCGGTATTTCCGTCGGTTTCGAACAAAGTGGTATTCTAAGTCGACACAAAGATGGGGGGAGTTGACAAATCATCAGTATGTCTAGCGACGGAAAAATCGGAAGTTTTAACAATGTAAACGAAACGTCTTTGAAGTCTGGACAAAATACCACTGAAAATCGGGTGCGGTAAATTTTTCGCAGAAATCTTCGCATTTCAACACCACCCAGCTTAAGTATCGGCTTGTGGTAAAATGCGAGACAAAAAAGTCACGTGACCGACCGTTTTCGCGCCCTTCTCGCATTTTCCCGCCTCGCCATTTCGCTTTTCGCGTCTCGCAATTTCCCCACACCCGCGTAAAGTAAGCGTCGATAATGACGCAGCAAAATGAGAGCCGTTTTCATCTACTCAAAGTTTATATAGGTTGGGTTATTTGTTGTTGGTGACAATTTTTTCTCTTAAAAAACCGAACAGTTTAGATGTCTTTAGGAAAGCAGAGTTTCTTTCGTGCATATCTAGTGGGGGGGGGGGGCCTCCGAAGTCCTCCCTCGCAGAGGCGTACCGACCCTTCCCGGCGCCAGTGTTTCTTCCAGACTTTTTTCTCCGAGGGGGCACTTGAAATTTTCGGGGGGGGGGGGGGCGGTAGACTTTCTTCGGGGGGGGGGGGGCGGACACTGTTAAAAGTATATATTTTCTATATAAATTATATAAATTTCATTTCGTTCGGGGGGGGGGGCGGTAAAAAAATTTCGGGGGGGCTTAGCCCCCCCCCCCCCCCCGAAGAGATGCCTGGAAGAAACTCTGCCCGGCGCCCGGACAAACTTTCAATTTGGTGCCCCCCCCCTTATTTTTGTATATTTATGATGCAAAATAATGCAGCAATTATTTTTTTCCAACCCATAGGGTCGGCGACCGGGGATATATGTACCCCCCGCCCCCTCGCTACGCCACTGCTCTCTCGGACGAAACAGAAAAAAATATTATATACTTTAATCGTGGGGTGAATTTAACCAGTGTCGTCGCCCCCATCACATTGCCCATTGAACAATGTCTGGGGGAGAAAAAAACTGGATTTAAGAAAGCGCAAGACACCTTTACAAACCCATAGAGCAGGGGTTCCCAACCTTTTTTTACTCTAGAGCACATTCTAAAATATCAGTAGGGAGGCGGGCACCACCTATTTTAATCGACAAACTCCTTCCATAGGCGTAGCGACCCTTCCCGTCACCCGGGGACAAAACTTTCGATTTGCACCCCCCCCCCCCCTCAAACTTTCGATTTCCATCCCCTTCAACCTTCAACCTTTCAATAATGTTTATGAAAAAAATTCTGTCTCTGTCGAATAGTGAGAGGCGGGCACATACAAATCGTTCGGCGGGCGCCATGGCGCCCGCGGGCACGGGGGTTGGGAACCCCTGCCATAGAGACATGATTCATAAAGATTCTAGGTTAGCATTTAGGCCTATATGTCACCAGGTATGGATATCAAGGCATTGGAAAACCAGTCACAGCTAACACTGTACTCGAGATGACACCACACCCGAGATGACATCACTCTCGAGGTGACACCACACTCGAGATGACATCACTCTCGAGATGACACCACACTCGACATGACACCACACTCGAGATGACACCACACTCGTGACTCGAGATGGCACCACACTCGTGACTCGTGATGACACCACACTCGAGATGACACCACACTCGTGACTCGTGATGACACCACACTCGAGATGACACCACACTCGTGACTCGTGATGACACCACACTCGAGATGGCACCACAGCATCACAGTCGAGATGAATATATCGAGTGCCCCCCCCCCCCTACCCCGAAGAAAAAAGTCTGGACGAAACACTGCTTTCAACCAGCATTAAGGAAAGGCAGTGTAGACGAGTAGTATACAACAGCTGGTGTCGATTCGGTGAATATTATTGGTTAAACCGACACACCACGACTAAAAATAGTTGTGTCCATTTCCAATCCTGATCAGTTGGCTGCCTTTAACAGATAATTATCTCAGATTATCTGCCCCTTTCCCGAATCAGCGGTTTAGTGTCAAGCGTGAAGACATCAATACTGAATACAGCTCACTCAAACGATCGAGACAGATCGACGTTTTAGCACATGTCTTAGTGGTTGGACCACAGTGTGGGGAGGGGGAGGAGTACATCAGAACTGGGGAGGGGGAGGTATAGATCAGAAATGGGGGAGGGGATTAGAATCAAGAGCCTACACTTTTACCGGCGGAAAAAAAAACTCAGTGGGGCTACGTGTATAAACACGGCTGAATCGTATACCGATTGAAGATGGAAGCTGGGAGAGGTGGGAGAGTCGGGCGTATTTTGGGAAAACTGCACGTGAATCAAAATGGGCGATTAATAGCCGATTGGTCAAAATTGAAAACCAAAACTTTTGTCCAAGTTTTTGTTTTTTTCATAACATTTTTAAGACTTTAATTTAAATTAATTGTCGCCTAATCTCTTTCATTGTAGGGAAATATTTAATTGTTCGTATTCATAAATACTATAGTAAGGGATGGAGTGGCCTAGAGCCTAGTGGTAGAGAGGTAGACAGCTAACCTGAAAGTCTCAAGTTCAATGTAAATAATTCTATTTCGTTCGAGGGGGGGGGGGTGGACATCCCGCGCCCACGCGAACAGATGACTAAAAGGTAACTCTGCTAGTGAGAATACACCAATAATAATAAGGCATGCAGTCAAGTCCTCAATTTAAGGGGGAGAAAATCAAGAAATAGAATCTACGAGCCGGCCCGCGGCATAACATACGCCGCTATTTAGTTGTTTCTAATTTTCAATAATTCATAATTTGTGAATTCGACAGTACCAACGCTGACACTGAAAATATTTCTTTAAAACACTATAAGTAGCTCGTTAAGGACCATAACCCCCCCCCCCCTTCCTTCCCCCCTCCCCCCCCCCTACGTTTAAAATCGTTGGCTCTGCTTGTAAACATTTAGAGTGAACACAGCTCACTAAAACCATGTAGGGGTGGGGAGGTAGGGAGAGCGTTTGCAGCTTGTTTTCTAACGGCTCGAAGAGGAGAATTATATATATAGATATTTAATGTGGGTGTGTAGTGGAATATGCCGCAGGCCTGTTAAAAAGCGAATCGTCTATGGTTAAACGAAAGAAGAGTGTGTTGTTGACATTTGTCAATCTTGGGGGGGGGGGGGTGTATGTGTGTGAGAGAGAGAGAGAGAATGAGAGAGTGTGTGGTTTAGGTCTGCACTAATCGAACTGTGTATGTGTTTATCCACACAC